CCGAACCTTCTGGAGCGCTCTTGTTGGTAAGGCGTCTCTTTGAAAGTTCCATGGCACTAAATGTCAGGCGACTGCTGGCAGAGGCAGAACTTAAGAACTATTTTATAGATTTACTCATCGATTTTTCAGTTTATCCAGCTCCATCGTGCTCAGTAAACTCAAACATCTATGCTCATTCTGATATGGAATTCGATGTCTACTTCCCCACCTCAGCACCGGTCTCCACTACCTCCTCACAAAACCCCAGCCCTGTTCATTCGATGTATTGCCCACCACCAGTACCACAACCCACTAATCCAGGTAACCATTTCCTTCATTTTACAGCAACTCTTTTGTTACTACTACTCAATAAACCTCTCATGATACTACTTTTTTCAGGTGCTCGGCCATTTCTGTGAGTTCAACACCGCGCCGACTTTCTGCCTCGATCTCCATCGTTCCTCATTCCATTCACTTGTCTTACATCACGGGTTCTGTATATATACTATTAAAGAATAAAAATGATAAATTAAGTTTTTTTGGTTGACATGTGAAGGATTTCACGGGCTCCTTTGCCCCACTGCTCTTGCAGATGGGCTTTTTGCCGGGCTCAGTCGGCCAGCGTCTTGCTGTGCGTCCTTGATCCTTGTTCCTCCCCAGTGTTGGACGTTGCACTTGCAGGTGCGAAAAGCGATTGTTTCTAGTTCATTCGTCTCCAATCAATTAATTTATGCTAACGAACAGTGACATCCTCAACCGATCTTTACTGACTTGACTTTTCGCGCTCCACAGTTGATATCCCATCTGCCCCAGACAACTTTACCAGGAGTCCTTCACTCCCCATCAGAGAACCTATCCATTAACTGCCGGCTTTTGAACTGTCTACTGAATCAAAGCAAAAAAACACTCCGAATTTCGTTTTGACTAGGTGTTTTTGTTTATTTGTTATGGGTCAAATGCCGTAAATGGAGTTAGTGAGAAGGGAAACTCGCTTGAGTAAGGGATAAACAGCGGAGTGAAGGGATGATAAGGATAGGTGGTTTGAACCCGTCCGGGATCAGACGTGAAACCCAGATCATTTCAGTACTTTGAGGGGTTCAAGCTCGAAAATGCTATCCTCCACGGGCTATGCCCAGCTGAAGGCTGGTGACAAAACTATCGTAAAATTGAATGGTGAGCATTGCCTTGCACTGAATGGTAAACTTTATGGTGCTACACATCGGAATGTTGGAAATCCAAGCTGTTTTGCTGATTTCACACACATCACAAATCTGAACAGCTGGCTACCTCGTTTATTCGATGCTGCTTTAAAGCTATGAGCCGTCATTTGGATGGGTTTTTATGGTCTCTACAACCAAAACATGATGAGTAGATGACGTTAAAAAGCCCGGATTTGAGAGCATCACTTTACTGCTTCGAACTTTGAGAATGAGATGCACAACTGGTGACGTCAATGGAGTAGAAATCCAACCACAAAAACCAAGAATTCAAAGAAGCCGCTCATATTTCGCTTTCAAAGAAGTCGAGTCTTTACAGCGGCTAAGTTCCCAAAATCAAGTCCGAGTCAAGAAGTGATGAACAATTTTGATGGCCTTAAATCTGGTTTAAAAGGAGCCCCGACAGCTTCGCCTACTGCTTTGGGACGAATCCCACTCCTGGCAGTTCCCCGAGCCATGTCACTTTGTCGCTGAATGGAACACTTGTACCACTTCCAGATGATATTGTGCCACGGGTTTTGATTAATCATTGGTCATTTGATGGACGACAAGAAAGATAAGCAAATAACCAACAAACAAGTAAATAAACATGGTTAGAGTCATGGATACTGCTGGTAGCCCTTGTTAAGCAAAACTGAAGTTTTCTCGAGTCACTTATTTAAATTATTTTACTTAGAGCCCACGACTCTCGCCGTTGATTTTCTGTAAGATCCCCTGCCGGCTGCCTAGCCAATTCACAGTCCTTTTTGCGACTTCCTCCGAATCAAGGGAGTCGCCATGGAAACGACCTCGGCTAAATGGCTTCTGAGAGGGTCCTTAAAGGATGATTTAGTGTGTTGCCGAAAAGCTCATTGGGAAAGCTTTTAACTATCAAGTCTAAGGGCTCAATAAGACAGAAATAGTACGAGGTCGCTCAAGACCCGGCATGAACCCATGCCCGCTTGTAGGAACGGTGTCCAAACAAAGAAACTCTATACTGATTGGAGGCCACACATGCAAACATCTGCACAGATTCACACGACCAGCTAATTTGGTAGCCATTACCTGGGTATCTAAGAGAGAGCTCGGGTGAACTCCATCCAGGAATTCCATTGAGGGTCAGTGGGAAGTCAGGGAGAGTTATGATCGGCCCGACGCCTTTGATGACTCAATTAGAGTACGCGTTTAGGTAGTGGTTTACAACTTGATCGTCGTTGGAGATAGCCATCGTCCCGCAACGGAAAGTGGCACCGCAATCGTAAATCAGCTAACTCAGATGATCACCTACCTTTAGTGGTTCTTCCGAGCATCATTACCACCTCAGCAAATTTACATTTCACTTTACTAGTTTTCCTCCCTGGAAGCCCTCCTGTAAGCACCCTCAGCCTTCGTTCCACGGCTGGGAGCCTAAGATGTCTCGGAAACCAAGTTTGAGTCCAATCTGGGAACTTTCTAGGCTTATTTCCTTTGACTATTTATGCTCAATGTCGTTTAGATAGCTACTGCAGTTGCATTACTTTCCCCTTCCAAACGGGACCACCTTAAGACTATCAAATACTGTGTTAAGGCAGAAGATGGTCATTATCAGTGGCCAATTGTGACCTCATATGCTCTCGTGTATAGCCCAGCTGAAAGAGCCACAAAATGGCTTGAGAGGCGGCTGACTGTCAACAAACTTATGCAAATCTAAGTGGCTGTAAATGACGGACAATAACCGACAGTAATCTGACACATCGTCATTGAATAAAGAAGACTAACTCGGGTGCGGCTCGTGCTAAGTCCGTAATTTGCATATGAAACAAAGGCAAGGACACGTCGGTCAAAGAGGCGCCAAACTTTTGTCGGACCAACAACTCGGACCAGGCAGACGGCCATCATCGGAGGTTATCCATTGGCCTGGAAGCTAAGATGGATGTGTTTGCGTGACTCGTCGGAGGCAGATGTTCCGGAGAGTCCTAGTTGGGAGCATTCTCATTCCACTTCCTACCAAAGTCTTCCACTTAGCGCTTGTTCAAGCATCTACCGGATATCATTACGATTTATGAGTACGGTAAACATTACCATGCACATGCCACTATTGCAGCTCTTCGGCTAACGAGGTTACATAAGAGGCTGAAACGGATTGGATGTCCAAGTGGAGTAGCCTAGGTCGTTGCCAATGTCGGGCGGGACTTGGTGGTTACTACTCCTCAGACCACCAAACAGTAACAGATGTGACTTCACCCCAAGCCTATAACTACCTATTGAAGTGTACGCCATTGCGGTGTCCTTACGTTTCCTCTTGCGCAAAGGCTTACGTGAGCCGCGCCGAACAATTACAGTTCTTTTGATTGCGGTTTCTAAAAGATCAGCCTACCACCCGCTGTGTAAAAGTTAAATGCACCAGATTGGACGGCTAATTGATGAGGACGATTCAGATAGTCTTAGTGGGTGGTGTAGACGAAAAGTGGAACTGGAATCCTACAGTACTCTAGTAATCAGATCAATACAAAGAAGAGGGGGATAATATCTCTTCCAAAGGACAATGTACCACCATGCCTCTAAAACGGCCTTACGTTTCCTAGATAATTCTCTCTTCCTCAGGATGGGCCAATACGTGTTGGAGGAAATTTGGGGTTGGGCGTAAGAAGGAACTTAATTTTGGCTCTGTTATCTCAGGGAATAAATCCCCACTCATCCCCTGACTGGCAATAAAGTGATAGAGATGTTCTACCAGTTCAGGACTTCTTTGCTCTTCTGCGCTTTTTGTCGAAGTAGCCCTTTCACCAACCCATCCATTTTTTGTCCCTCTCCCACTCCCTTGAGTGCCTTAATATGGTCCCAATCGCGAATAACTCGATCGATGCTAGACTATATCTACTAGTAGGGTCATCATATGACTATTTGGTACACAACTGTGTCCGTGGTATGAGAATTTCTTCGCACTTTTCGTGGAGGTTCGCTGAAATTGAGCGAAAACACCTCCCGAACACGTGTTTCACGACTATTGACCAACTCAGCAGGGGTCTCCATTTCAGAACCAAAATGGCTAGCCCAATTGCTCATCTGGCATGTTTCTTGGCGTAAGGGGCACTGTAAGAACGGGACGAAACGGAAGAGCTCTCCCCATTTTCTGTTGTGGGGTAATTCGCTTATATATTTCCCAGAACACTGATGCGGGTTGAAGTATCATAGAAGAATGCTTGAGGTGTAGTTCCTAAGCAGCATTCCCTTTTCTTTCCTCACCTCTCCATCCATACTGAAGCATCAGCGATAGGGTTTTTCCGTCTTCAGTCGTCGTTCCCAGTTCTCCGCCTTTCCTCTGACCCCCCTCCCCTGTTAGAGCTCTTAGTCATGGGTTCCGTATTATTGGGACCTAACGGAAGTCAAGGCTAGCTTAATAGCTTTTCGAATGAAGAATGGCTGAACGCACAGCGCTGACCATATGTAGTGCATGGTGTAGGTGAGGGGCATTTGTCTCGTCGATAATGTCTACGTTTTCGGGCACCATGGAACAATGTAAGGTCAACGGCGTTCCGATCACTGCGGTAACCAGTAATTTGAGTGGAACACGACGTCGAAACGAGAACCGCTGCTTCGATTTTTCACATTGTGAGGGCCTTCCAGAAGAGGACTAGCCAGGAGTGACCTGACTTTATTGGCGACGGTAACGTATGTTCCACATTGCGCAACGGGACAGGATAGTGGACACCGAAAGGAAGCCGCTTACGCTTCGACGCGCACCTCTGTAATGCTGAGCACTTGATGAGTGGAGCAGTTGGGTCGTCTTTCCTTCGAGATCTGAAAGGAGTCATGCCGCTGCATTTATCCTAGGACGGAAGGCTACTGACGGGGAGATCGATCCTGGAAGGGGGAGCGAAAATTTCGAAACCGGGGTGGACAATTTGGGCGTTCCCTTCGCAGTGGGCTCTATGGCAGCTTTAGACCCCTTTATGCTCGGCCTTGTCAGAGTAGCCCGAAAAAGAGCCAAAATTGGAGAATGATTCATATTCTACCGACTTCCGATTAAGATCAGTATCAAGCTCTTAAATTTCCATAGCCCTGCCCACCTGGTGGTATAAAGAGTGGGCTGGGGCAGCGCTAAGAGCCGAAGCACTTTTATAGTTCCGGGCATTTCCTCACGTCCGGAGGCCAAGGTTTCCCTTATGTATCTCTGAGGTTATCTAGCTGATAGCAGACCTTTCTCAGATCATAGAGAAACATTTTTTGTTCATTCCTCGTTTTTTTTTCAAAGGTCCAATGAGCTGAAGCTCCTCAATGCCACAGTCGTCTACCATAAACTGTCAAGAATTACTTGACAACTCGATTTTTTCCATTTTTTTA